GACACAAAAGTACATTTTAACTTAAATTATAAGTAACGTTAATATATATATATATAATTTTATTCAAAATCTCTTCTATGGCTTTGTCCCCAACATCTAAGTTTACAAACCTCGTGACATTCAACCAGGGCTTTAGCCAGCGCCCGTTTTACCGTCAATTGACGGTATTTTTTCCCGTCGGACGGTAAAAATTTAAGTCCTTACCGTCAACATTGACGGTCAAAAATCGTGGGTGAAGAGACATTAAACTTAGCAAAAAATGTAGCGAATTTGAATGAGCCACGGCGCGGGGTCTTTCCAAAGCGCGTCGCGTCTTTTCAAAACGCCGCGGGCCCACACATTTCTTATTTAAATACGGCGGGAAACCTGACTTCAAGGAACGTGCCGATGTCTGTTAACTCGGTTCTTTTCTTCAATGTTGCTGTCTGTTTAAACAACATGTGCTAACGGCCACATAAGAACAATGGCTCGACTCAGACTCACGCTGGTAACTGTACATGACAATAAGATAAATAAACAACATGTGGCAACGAACAAAGAAATATCAAACGTTTTGAAAATATACTGTACTTGAATTTTCATACCATCGCAAGAAAACGGAGATCGATCTACGCAAAGTGGCTTTATTATTTATATAAACTTCGTTAAACCACCTTCGAAGACTTGAGCGGCAGCATAAAGATAAATTTTCTGGAGCCGATCGCTGAAGCAAGTTTTTGCCGGCGTACGTAACTCCCTCCGCGGCAAAATCCCATATGCCGTAGCGAAATCGCGTCTCAGCACTTCCCCAAATCAACTCCATGGCCGCTAAAGTCTGCAAATGAGGTTAAACTTCCTCATTTCGGTTGAGAAGCGAAGCTACTAGTATAAAATCATGTGCATGGCGGCCATTTTGTTTGCTACCCGAAGTCTTCCGAATGATCTAAATAAGGAAATCGTCGGAAATCTGAGCCACATCCCTCGCTGTCGGCATGCGCTCGGGGCTGGCTCGGTGGAAATCGGAGGCTGTGGCGTCAGGACTAGGTTTATTTGCATGGCTCGGGAAGCCGCCGCGGCTTGAATCGCAGCGGGATTTGGGCGCCGGGCGGGTCAAACAAAGGGAATATGAAGTTGTGAGGACCATTTTTTTTTTTTCATTCTTCAAATTGCAGATTGTGTAATTTTTATCCTGAAATCTTGAAAATCTATCTGCAAATTGCAGACTGAAGACGGGTATTTAGAACACTGAATACATGAAGTGTGCGGGGGGGCATGATGTCGATCACCGGATCATGATTTTTTTTCGCGTTGACCCTGATTCAACCCTAAAATAATACTCGAAGAGAACTTCAAAAGTCATCTTTTACTAATCATATATAATTGTTTACATTATATCATTTGATCAACCTGATCTATTAAAAATTGTCAATGGAAAATACCTTGCCAAACAATGCAATACCTATTTAAGTTAATTAAACACTCACTCACTCATTACTTAATTAATTTCCTAAAATACAAAAGACATGTTGGTGAAAGTTAGGCACCCAGGTAATATCAATAGTTCCACGGACAGCTATGTAGGCCGGAGCTTCTATTGCGTGCGATCTACGTTTTGGCAGAAAATACACCCCCCCCCAACACACACACACACAAAAACACCGATCCTGGAACGCCTGAAAAGGAGGCTTTTAATAAGCTTTGCCTGCAGCGCCTTGATTGGTCGGACGTGTGACCCTCTGGACTGCCGGCTAATGGAAATCTGAACATCTAGACTAATCCACACTGCTAATGCTCATTGACATAATTTATGCAGTTTATTAAAATCCTTGATTACTGTGAATCCTTGATTATAGACATGTCTTTATCAACATTTTTGGCAAATAATAAAATCAAGTTATTGTTCAAGACAAATTAAGTTTGTTTTGTCAGCAGCTTTGTTATGCAACATTAATAGAACTATGATTTTGAAATTAGCAACCATAATGGAAAGTATACAAACGTCCAAGGCATAAATGGTAAAAAGTGCACTCGCAACAACGACATCTAGCGACATGCGGCAACTCAGCATGTCTGCATGGCCGTCGCAACAACGACATCTAGCGACATGCGGTGACTTAGCATGTCTGCATGGCCGTTGAAGGGTGGAACCGTTGATCCATCCATCCGTTGATCCAATCTCAATCTCGTCTGAGTTACCATTTTCGCGCATGCGAAAATGGTAAAAAAACTTGCCTTCATTCAGAAATCTAGGTGGTCATGAAGGTTGTACAAATGACTTAATATAACACACAAAGTAATATTTTATTGGCATGGTGAATAATAGACTCTTCAATTTCATTCCTTCACATTTTCTTCTGGATGGATTTTGGCATTCTGCGACTTTAGTATCAGTTTCCTTTTTTTCAGTTTGAGGCATATATTTGCTCATTTTGCAGCTGCTTTGTACGATTCACATTATGACCGAAACTTTTTTTCAAACGGACGAAAACTCATGCCCGCGCGGATGTCATCCATATTATCAAATCAACATGGCCTTAGATGTTAAAAATATACTGTATACTACAATACATTCAACATCATACGTAAACCTACGAAAATATTTGGGTGCATTGGTGCACCCACAGAAAATAACTGGGTGCACAGCTCCAAATTTGGGTGCACTAAGGTGCATATGCACCCTGTATTTTGAGCCCTGGCAAGGAAACCATATATTTGTCCCTTCTGAGACTACACAATCTATCACTACCCGCGTACAAATTTTCTCAGAAAAAACAATTTACTTTGAATGTTTACTTTTGGTGATCGCTTTAACAAAATTCCGTGTCATTCATGCAGCGTTTTGGGGTCACTCAACCGTTCCCATCGCCCCTAACCCCACCCCTTTCTCCTCTTAATCTCCCCTTTCTCAGCACTTGTGTGAGCGATTCGGTGTCACCAGGTACTGGTTCGTAGCCTCTATCAGCTTCGGGACGCGGTTGGAAAGAGGAGAAATCGGCCAAATAGAGAGATACGATGCCAGGGGAGTTGGTCTGCTCGAGAGAACAATTTGCCACTCCAAAACGCGAAACTGTTCTCTCCAGTAGACTAACTCCCCTGGCCCTGCTGGCATGTTATCTCTCTATTTGGCCGATTTCTACTCTTTCCACCCGCCTCCCGAAGCCTGGTAGAGGCTACGACGTAGTACGACCAGTATCTAGTGACACCGATCGCTCACAAAAGTGCTGAGAAATGGGAGATTAGGGGAGAAAGGATGGGGTTAGAGGCGATGGAAATGGTTGAGTGACCCCAAAACGCTGGAGGCTAACTGGTCCAACCGGTCGAACAATGGCACGCACGTCCCTTTCAGTGTGCTAACTGACAAATCGTTAGAAAAGATCAGGGCTGACCACGGAAGAACGGCTCGTATATCTCTCTACCAATGACGCGACCGCGTTTTTGACATCGTAACTCACCCAACAGCCGAAGGACAAAAAGGCGGGATTTTCACCATGAATGACCCGACCAAGGTAAAGCCGAAACCTAAGCCCCTCATCAGGGGACAGTCAGTACCTGCATTCAAACTGAGCGGGGACAGTACAGCAGGGAAGGAAAAACAACAACATCTGCAGGCAGCCAGACCTTCTGCCGAGGAATCCACAACAGATACGACGAATTCGCCTCAGCTGAAGAAAAAGCCAAAGCCTAAACCGTTACTGAGAGCTGAATCGGTGCCGACTTTTAATCTACCGGGGAAGGAGAAAAAACAACAACATCTGCCAATAGCCAGACCGTCTGCTGAAGAATCTACAACAGATACGTCGAATTCGCCTCAGCTGAAGAAAAAGCCTAAACCGCTACTGAGAGTGGAGTCGGTACCAATTTTTAATTTATCGGAGAAGGAGAAGACTGGAGAAAAGACGAAAGAAATGCCGAAGCCCAAGCCGCTCCTGAGGGGACAGTCTCTGCCGATATTTAACCTGACCGGGGATAAGACTGCGGAGATGGCCAGACAGAGACGGTTTGTTTCAGAATCAACTTCAACACTTCGCATGTCGGGAACGTCTATGGAATACAAGAAGCAAGAAATCACAGACAAGCCCATAGGTAAAAAAACAACAACTGTTTTTGCATACTGTTCGCAGCATTCTTTGTATATTTCAACAATAGGTAACGTTATTATGGCTTTACCATAATCATTTTCTTGGTGTGCAGAGTAACCATTAAGGTATGGCAGTCCAAAATATGAAAATTATAATATATGAAGATCTTTTTGGTTAATTCCGAGCGTTGTTTCACTTACATGTGTTCTAATTCCATAGGTTCAGCGAATATGCTCTAAAGGTGTGAGAAAGTGTACATAACCGGCATTCCATGTTACATTTTGGATGTTTTAAAGTTCGAAATTTTAAACATTACAGGTATACGAAAACATATGTTATAAGAAATAGACTCCGTGTTTATTTAGAAAAGCTACGTTTAATTCTCAACCGTCAGTCAGGATAGAGCCCCTCAGGACAAAGGATAATTACAGTGTGCACATCTGTGGCACGTTACTTATGTCATGTAATTATATACATAAAGCCACAACCGGACTCAAATTTATCATAATCTAATGTGAGGACACAGATAACAATTCTTGTTCTAATCGCATTTTTTGTGGCTTTAAGGTTTACCACAGTACATTTCTTATCCCTGAAGATTTGAAACTCTCTCTTTCGAATTGTCTTAAGAAACTAAACAGGTTTCTTGTGCACTCAAGCGTGCAGAAAGGCCGGCGTTTGTGTCGAAATGTTACAGACATGGGTCATTGACCTTTTGTCCTTCATGGATTTTGTGTATTTATCTTTACAAGCTTAGCTGTTGACTTCGAATTTAAGTTAATCTTTAATACCTCAAGTATAGTCTTGCTTGTAAAGAGAAATGTTAAAGAAAAAAGAAAGGCATTTCTGTTATTCGTGAACGTAAGTGAATGCACATTGCAATGTTTACAATCTGTATAATGATGTTGTTTTGTTTTGTTTGTTTTGTTTTTTTACAAGGAGCAAATGGAGTATTCCGTCAGTACCTGCGAGGCCGGCCCATCACCATGTTCGCTCCCTCCGATTCGGCGGACCATGGCCCCGCCAAAAAGGAGCCGACCCTACCGACGGAAATGCTACGTGCAGAATGGGTGTATCCTTCGATATGAACAGAAATAAACAAACAAACAAACAAACACATAAACAGACAGACAGACAGACAGGGATGGAGTTACTTACATATTTAGTTGGAAAAGCAAAAGTAAAACTCTGTTTAGTTATATGAGAAACATTTATAGGCAAATACCTTCATAAAAGCGATCGACCGCAAATTTATGAGTTTCCTTCTTGTGTTGGAACAAAGCTTGAACTTTACAACTGTTGATTCTACCAAATTACAATACAGATGTGCTTTCATTCGACCCTTCATAAAACGTTGCTATATAGAATTACATGTACAATATCACCAGTTAGAGTAGACAACTTTCAGAAGTCAATGACCTTTAATGGGTCAATGACCCTTGTCCAGACGCCTTAATTATTCTAAAGCATTAGCCAAACTATAGTTATTTTGTGGGAGGCCCGTTAATTGCACTCCCCAAGGCCAGATATCTATTTCGCAGATTAAATGGCAGTGGGTATAGATCATGTCTTCAAAAAAGAAAACACTTTTCCTTCATAGAATTTTATTTTATCGCATTCTAATGTTGGATGGATACATAGGTTGGGCCAATCGGTATACCGGTAAAATACAACATGCAATATTACACACTGCGTTATCCATGACAAGATTTTTTGTTGGAGATATAGTCGTGTTTTTACCTTTGCAGCAAGGCAGTATCTGCTTAAAAATACTTGGAGCAAATCCCTAATAAATGTAATGCAATGAAGAGAAGAAGTTGAACCTGTAAACAGTAGACCACATTAGTATGTATAATTTAAGTATCATTGCTGTATTCTTTTTCCTGTTTATGCATGGCCTGTACTTAGTGTGTTAGAGCACAAACGTACAAGAAAGGTCTTCATTTACTCTCCAAGCAGAGGTTGTGGGGGAATGATCGTTACATTTTTATATATGGCCGTTTTTTTTTTGTGTCCTGACCCCGTCGGTGGCCGCGGACCTTCTCTGGCTAATGGATACTTTTGCCACCGATAGGGATCTGCTTGGAGATTATCTTCATTCATTCATTCAATAATAAATGTTGGACTATAAAGTCGTATTTCTCTTTAGTGTGTGGACTTGACGCTGGTTCAGATACGGTTACCGAGGCCGTGACTGTGCGGATAACCTACACGAGCTCGGCAGCGGGGAAATCGTGTACAACATCGCGTCAGTCGTGGTTCTGTACGACCCTCGGGCCGGCACACAGAGGCACTACCTGGGACACAACTCAAGCATACAATGGTCAGATTTCACCATTTGCTAAGTTTCGCATAGAAAACCGTGTACATGTTCTGAACACCTCAGATAATATTTTAGAAGAATCCCATGCCTGCTAGTAGAAGCGTGGCGTTATTGGTACTAGTGTGGCGCTATGGGTAAACGTGGTACTATGGGCAAAGTTGCCAAGTGCCCTTTTTGACAACGCCTCAGGAGCGGATCCTTTATAACCCCCTGTAACTGTCCCACTCCAGTCTGGCTGTACATCCCGCGGGAGTCCTGGTGACGAGCGGACAAGTCATGGGGGTCAACCGCAGAGAACAGGTACCGGTAAAAATTTCTTTTTAGATGCCAAACAGAAAAAAAGCGCGGTCAGCAAATGGCGGTTGTAGCTCTGAATGGTTGGCCGAATTTCATTTACTTGCGAAAGCAATGGATTTACTCCTTTTACTTCTCACCCTTGCTTAATTTGGTTTGGTTTACTTGGTTTATTAAGATGACATTAAAATAAAGGGGAGGACAGAATAGAAGATCCCCTACCGACAATGCTAGCAGTCGTTGTCTATTTCCGACACGGTTTTAGGTGGCACACATAACCTCTATGTTTAGTGTTTACAACTAGTGTTTACTGTTTCAACCCAGATTGCTGTATATGAAAAGTTCGACGGATTTTACGGAACCCCAGATCCGAACTGGTACAAGGTAAGCTATTCTCATGGCGTTTGAAAATTTCGAACTTCTTAGAATTAATCTTCATTTCTTAGCAAACTATGTAATTGTTTGACCTAACTCATCAAAATATTCTTCACTTTTTATGTAAAGTACTAGAAATGCCACAAAAACGAAAAAGAGCAATCTTTTTACACACATCTTTATGCGACGGTCACTACTGCGTACACAAGTTTTCAACTAAATGTTTATCTCTACTTATACACCAGCCCCATGTGAGAGTGTGGGATTCCAAGACGTTACAAACTTTGGCTGTGATTGGTGGAGACAAACTGCAGTTCGGAGTTTGCGCAGTGTCTTTTTCGGTCTCCGTGAGTATCTTTAAATAACCTTACATACATACATACATTCCTACATAAACATGTATATAACTCCAGCCCAGATGAGCATGGTACAAACTTCGAATTAATGTGTTTTTCAATCGTATCTTAAGTAGCTTGTTATGTTATGTTGCTATGTTAAAGTTTTCGTACGTACGTACAGCATATAGTGTCAACTTGGTTTCCATAATACACAAGGCAATGATGATCATGGGTGAGCAATGAGCCTCTCTCTCAATAAGATCTAACCTTCTCACCCGATCCCTCAAAGCCAGCGAAGTTAAAGCCATGAACTCATAGTCATAACAGTGAGAGATGCTCCTTATGGGAGGCAGATGATTTCTTGACAATCGGGACATCTTAGGCACAGGTGACACCACTCTATGGCCACGTTTGTAGGATCATATTTAAACTTTTGTGTTACCCCAATGGTGCGGTGGCATGAAATGCACATCCGACTGAACTCTTTCGGACTCTCGTCAAACACTTCTGCTGGGCATTCCTTAATAGGGCATCTTGTTCTCCATACATATGATTGAGTCATTGAAAAAATAAGTGCATTGTGGTGTCGTCTCTCCACGTGTTGAATCAAAACCTCTGCAACTAGATTGCATCGTCTGCCCTGTCGCCGAGCCAAACCTGTTGCCCCCTTGCCCAGCTCCTCTATTGCTTCCAGCGCCCCCTGCCGGAGCATGTAGAACCCTGCATCCGCCAGGATCATGTCTGACGTCACTTGTGGTGACAAGAGCAGGCGGCCGTTCCTGTATAGATAACAACAAAAGTTGCAATTTCAAATGTACAGTGTTTAGTGGAGAGAGAGAGGGGGAAATAGAGGGAGAGAGAGAGAGTGGGGGAGAGGGAGGGAGGGAAAGAGAGGGAGAGGGAGAGAGAGAGAGGAGGGAGAGAGAGAGAGGGGGAGAGGTAGAGAGAGAGAAAGAGAGAGAGGTAGAGAGAGAGCTAGAGGGACAGTAGTGTTACAATCCTCGGCCTTTGGGTGGGGACGGCTCTGTCACTTCACGGTGCCTTTAGTTTCGGTCTCAGTTTCGGTCCGCGTTATGACGGTGCTAGTATCCTGTATGTACCGTTGTTAACATTTCGGATTGCATACCAAAGCAATTTAAAACTAGAAAGGCCAATATTTGCTTTGGAGCAAATACAGCGATGGGTTCACCACATTTTACGACATGGCAGGGAAAGAATGAGAAACACAAGGGAAAACAATGATTTACATTGATATAACTATAATATGAAGTAACATACAACTAAAACAACAGTTGGATAGCTATTCCCTACTTTATTGGTTAGGATTTTTAATTGCATAATGCAAACTGTTGATTTTCAAAATAAAAAAAAAACGTTCATGCCCCGCATTCCAATGCTGGAGCAGAAAAGCTTGAAATACCTACCAAAACACTTGAATAAAGACATACTGTCAGTATGGAAATGCTCTGTGCAGGTGTTATTAACAATCACATAAACTATGAAGCCATACATTGAATAAGCTATACATATAATATGATTATCATAACCTTTATTTTTAAAATCATGCCAGTGAGCTAATTGCATGTACAGAGTGAAAGAAAGTAAAGTAAAGCAGTAGAATTTCTGTACTAGCTATGATAGTACTTCATATGATTCGTCCTCATCGTCATCATTCAATGTGGTCTATCTCTTGCTACTAGTGACTGGTAATACCTCTGTAGATTCTTCACACTGGCAGAGTACCGTACTCCTTCTCTCTTGTCAGCTCAATACTTTTGTGACAACATCAAAGTGATTTTAGTTTGTATGTTGGAAAAATACAAAAGACTAACATTCTAAGTTATTGACATTCTTGAGTAAGAACAATCAGTTTTTGAATGTTAAAAGCAAAACAACGAAAATAAAAAATGTTGAAATTGTTAAAATGCAGAATTGTTAAAATCGTTAAAACTGATAAAATTGTTAAAAATTATAAAATTGTTAAAAATGTTAAATTGCTAAAAATATTTATGTCCGATGCACTGGGGTTCGAACTTGCAATGCCTGGGATTGCCGCCTTGCGCGTTTCCAACCGAGCTAACTCGGTGCGATACACATCACTCACTGCATTGTATGTCATAAAAAGTAAACAGCATGGCGGTATCGATCGCCTCAAGCCACCAAGACTTTCAACTATTAACTACGGGGTTTCCTTCTTTATCAGGTTTGCTTTTGAACCACCTTGATGTTACTTAACTATCAACCCGGCTAGCAGAAGCCGCCGGCTCCTTTGATATTACAGCCGCTCCCTGTCCAATCTTGTTTACACGCCGGGCGCAGGTCATTGA